AGACTGAGTCAAAGTCAGAGACTGAGTCAGAGTCAGAGACTGAGTCAAAGTCAGAGACTGAGTCAAAGTCTGACTGAGTCAAAGTCAGAGTCAAACAGAATACATTAATTTTGTGCAAAAAGAAATGAGACAAAAACCAGAGTCAAGTGGAGCCTGACACACACACACACACACACACACACACACACACATAAATCCTGTGGCCTAAAAAATTCAGAACCTAACGAGGTGATGTCACCTCCTCCTCCTCCTCCTCCTCCTCCTCCTCCTCCTACCCTCCCCCCCCCTTCTTGTTTCACAGATCATGTCATTATAATCAGATTACAGGTGGACGATGGCCGTCTGCAGGAATTCAACACGTGGGGGAGGGGGGGAGACGGGGGTGACGACATGGAAGTGGTATCTGAACACACACACGCACACACGCACACACACACACGGGGAAAGTGTGAGGTCACAGTGTTGTAATACTGTGATTAAAGGAGAGGGGGAGAGAGGAGGAATGTGAGGCTGGAAGGAAGGAAAAGAGGAGGGGGGGAGGGAGGGAGAGAGGGAGGGAGGGGAGTCAGGACAGAGGGAGGGAGAGAGGGAGAGAGGGGAGTCAGGACGGAAGTTAGGAAGGAAGGGAAAAGGTATTCAGGAAGTGAGGATAGGGAAGAGGAATGAAGAAGAAGAAAGAGGAGGAAATGAGGGAATCAGTTGAAGATGAAGTCAAGTGTTGAGGGACTGGGTGGAACCAGATGGAAAACACATGCTGTGACACACACACACACACACACTTCTCTGCCCACTGGTGGTTCTATAGGGTAGCGGATATTATTCCTGCCTCTGAAGCAGAGAGTCCAGGGTTTGATTCCCAGAGGAACCACATGCCTGCTGCCTGCAGGGGGCAGCCTGCAGCCTGCTGCCTGCAGGGGGCAGCCTGCTGCTAACACACCTGTTTCCCAAATGTGTGATCAATATAGTACAAATTTGATCAATTATTTATTTGTTATTGCCACCTGCTGGGCATTCTGGGTATCTCAGTTTGCCCTTCAGACGGTGGTGTGATGATGTCACAGTGAGTGAGCCCAGAAACGATCGATAAAGACAGGGCTAAAAGTTAGCAAATAAAAAATGTTAGCCTAAGATGACTAAAGGTTAGCCCAGGGCTAGCTAACGTAGCCAAGAGCGGCTAGAAGGTTAGCTCTCAGATGTCTCCAGGTCAGTGTGACTTATTGACCAGGATTAGGAAGACGGATCAGGATCAAACCGGTTTGTTTGACGGGGAATCCAACATCCCTTCTCTCTCTCTCTCTCTGTGTGTGTGTGTGTGTGTGTGAACAGTTCTGAGCGAGGGAAGGCACGCCAGGCTAACAGGTGGTAAACAGCTGGAGGAGTCACTGCAGAACCAGATCCTGGGTCTGGGTCTGGGTCTGGTTCTGGGTCTGTGCTGAACAAAGAACAATCCCAGGTCTGCTGTCATTTAACTGCTGAACACACACACACACACACACACACACACACACACGTCACAGGAAACTCAGCGTCACGACTGTTGTAGTACAGTTTGATCAACTGTTATTATTAGGATTGTGATTGTTGTGATTGTTGTTGCAATTGTTGTTGCGATTGTTGTTGCGATTGTTGTTGTGATTGTTGTTGTGATTGCTGTTGTGATTGCTGTTGTGATTGTTGTTGTGATTGTTGTTGTGATTGTTGTTAGATTATGACCCACTTGTTACTACGACTCTTTAAAACGACACCAAGTCTGTGGTGGAGTTTTCTCAGGGCTTTTATTTTGAAAGGAGTTGTGTTTCTAACTGCTGAGTTATGCAGTACTCAGTTCAGACACTAGGGCTGAATGTAGTGTACGTTGTTCTACAGTATTGACGTTCTCTCTCTGTTCTACCCTAGAAACAAACATAAGGGTCGTGTTCCGACCTGACACCGGTCTTAAACACCACTCTCTCTGTGACCCTGTGACCCTGTGACCCTGTGAGAGGTTTAGTCTGTGCGGCCTGAGGTGAGTTAAAGACCTTTCAGTGGTTCCTTAAACAGTTCTAGACTGCGGTTCCTTCACTCGTCTGTTTCAACAGTAAAATAGGAACAATCTGGAAGTGGGTATGAGTGTGTGTGTGTGTGTGTGTGTGTAACGTATTTCCCATCAGCCCCAGTCACCCCCCCGGCCCCCAGCCTTTTCCCAGAATTCACCACTGACTCACTCGAAGTGAGCGGCTGCTCAGGAGAACCTGATGACTGTGTCACTGTGAGGTTCTGAACGGACTCTGCTGATTGGTTCATGACTCGTGCACATTAAAGAGTCACAGCAACAGTGACTCCTGGAGGTGACACATGTTCTACAGGAAGTCCTGAACCATGAGGCTATTGCTAAGCTAACCAGCAGATATGAGGAGGCGGAGCTTCAGTGCTCCTGGGGTTTATCTCTCCCTCCGATTGGACAACGTCCAGGCTAGCTTATAGCATCTCGTTGGCTAATGTGAAGCTGAGGCTAAATGTGTGGTTCCTTTTAGGTGTCAGCCCTTTAAGAGTTCACGTTTGTTCACGCTGTGTGGATTAGCCGCCGCTCTTCACCTGGAACATCGTTTAGTTTTTTCTGCTTTGAGATTTTTCTGGAAGGATTTCTCTGTACGGAGCGGTTCCTACGGTCACCAGCACGGCTAACTTTGAGCAGTGTGTCGTTAGCTTGACTGCTATATAGCACATTTTACAAATGTTTATAAACGTTATATAAAAGTCAAAGTTAGTCCACATAAATCATGTTAAACAGTATGTGTGTGTGTGTGTGTGTGTGTGTGTGTGTGTTGACGTCTGACAAGAACAGGTGTCGGGAACACGTCACCATGGTGACAGGTCTGTCTCTCACGTAGACTGAACGTGCACATAAAGAACAAACAGGTGCATTTTCTCAGTCTGACATCACTGATGACTCATCATGACATCATCAGTTCACTTCAATCTGAACCCACTGTCAGTCATCAACAACAACAACAACAACAACAACAACAACAACAACAGCTACAGACTGTGAGGTCTGAGTCTCAGGAACTTCCAGTGAAACCACTGTTTGAGTCTGAAAATCCCATGTTCGGCCAGAGGAGGCAGCAGAGTCGTGAGTGAGTGTGTTGACAAACCTGTCCAATCAGATCTCAGGCCAAGTTCAAGCTCAAAATAAAGCTTCAACTTCTACACTGACGACCAGGAACCAGACGGACCAGGAACCAGACGGACCAGTCTGGTTCTCCTGGGTTTCGTCAAGCAGAGAAACTGAGACGAAAAAAATCTCCAAAATCTCCCAGAATGCACCAGGGCGACCACATATTGACACTGGTGCAGAGAGAGGTCATGTGATGTGCTGAGGTGGAAAACACCTACCTTGACTCTGCACATGCTCAGTGTGACTTCAGCAGCTCCCTGCAGGTGAGGTCACGGGGTCATTCCTGCAGGTGAGGTCACGGGGTCAGGTGAGGTCACGGGGTCATTCGAGGTCACGGGGTCATTCCTGTGAGAAACACAGACAGCAGCAGTGTGTGTGTAAGAGGCTGGTACTGGTCCTGGCACCAGAGGTCATGACCTTCCCTCACGGACAGTTTAACTGACCAGGTGTCATCAATCTAAAGGTCATCAAGGTCACAGTGACCCTAACAGAGGGAGAACTTGGAGCTTTACAAAGCTTTCACCTCCTCCCCTCTTTTGAGTTCTGTCCTCCTGCTCCTCCTCCTCCTTCATTAAGAAAATATTCATTGTGTGTGTGTGTGTGTGTGTGTCATTGTAAAATGCAGGGGGGGGGGTGCAGCCCTACACCTGTGGTGACCACTTCCTGCACCACATCCTGTTCACTTCCTGTTATGGTAGTGACTGGATTCCCTCAGAAATGTACACACACACACACACACACACACACACACACACACACACACTGTGAATGTGTGCTGCTCATTATGGAGCTGCACACAGAGGGGGAGGGGGGAGAGAAGGGGGGAGAGGAAGACTGATGAAGACTGATGAAGACTGAAGAAGACTGAAGAAGA